ACCATGAAGCTCGCAGCGCCGCTTCATCCGCACAGACGCGACGCGACGCGACCCACGCGACTCATCTTCAGACCTGCACACACAGGTAAGCGCGAGCTCATCACGTGACGCAAGACAGGAGAAACTTTAAAACCGTCGTAGCAGTACAGCCACGCGAATCATGAATGAATTTAAATGTATTTCAGTGAAATATTTTTTTAGTGTGTAGGAGACCGGGGCAAGTTGTCACTATAGCACTTGCCGTTTATTGGCACCGATTTGAGAAGAATACGTTTGTTTAAAATGTGAAACACTATCTAAAGTAACAAAAAGAAATTTTCCCCGCAACTTTCTGCATTTAAAATGGCTTAAATGCTTTCCAGCAAAATGTAAACAGTAAGACAATTTTGAAAAACAAATAAATAACACATAATTGTTTTGTTCAAAAGAACAGATACAACTCATGAGCAGCATGTACTTTTATAAATGTGACAACTTGTCTCAACCCGATTCCCTATTTTAGGAACACAGTTCAACCCTTTGGTTTTTATCTTCTTTCATTATATTTATGTCTTCTAGTGATGCATGATGGTGTGTGTGTATGTGTTTACTTTAATCAACAGCTAGAAAAATATGATGACATTGGTTATTTAGTTATACTAATTCATGAGAGTTTTGAATGATTTTTTGGAACCAAACTAATATTCCTACACTGATATTCACTGATGAAATTAATGAATGCATGCAATAAATGCAGTTAAATTTTTATTTGTTTGTAACATATGTTTAGACATGTTTAAACAAACATATATTTATCTTTAAAATATGTTTAAAAGTTTAGCAAAATTCTTCTTTGTGTTGACATGGCATGCCTACAAGTCACTTAATAATATCCATAACAAATGGAGTAAATGTTGAGTGTGAAATGGTGAGAATAAACTGAAACCAACAGTAAACGCGATTAGCATTTGGTAGTGTTCTTCAGGAGCTGTAATGTCTCATTGATGTCTCAGGGGGCCCCATATGGATTGGGGGACGTCATATGTTATTCAGGCTGCGGTCGATGTCTGTTTTCACCCCCTCTGGATGAGCGCAGATGAGAAAAATGATTTAAACATCACCAAATTACCATATATAAAAAATGCATGTATTGGTGATTTAATGATACATTAGTGATATGAAATGAGCTGTTTTGCAGAATCTTTTCTGTACAGTGCTTAATTTCATTCAGATGTTATCTTTTTTGGATAGGTAACCTAAAAATGTTTATTATTTTTATATGTTTTTTTAAAAGTCAGAATTATTATTTGATATGACTAAATCAATCTGACTACATTAAATCTTTATTTTATTTTTTTATTTTTTTACACATATTTTCCTGGACATATTTATAATTGGTATAAACCATAAATTAAATATTTGTTCTTGTATTTATTTAGCTTTTTTTAAACTGAACTTATAAAAAAGAATTATTATTTTAACTTATTTTAAGTCTTATTTTAACTTTCTGGATGAACTGTTTCTAGCTTCTTTGCAATGTTTGTTTGGCTTTATAAAATGTGCCAGTTTAGTGTGTACTTACATTTTTTGTATGAAATGGTATGTGTGTGTCATTGTGGTCACTGACTCTTTCACATTTACGCACAGCAAGCAGATGCTCAGATGCACAGACACGGTTTCATTATTTATTTTTAGCATGTAGAACATTGATTGGTCCTTGTGAAGATCTGCTCACTGTTCCAGGAACTAGCGCCTTTTGGGGATTTACTTCTTAGTAGTGTTTAAAAAGTCAAGCATTATTATTACTCTTGCTCTTATATAAAGATTTGAACAAACTCCAAACCGAACTCCAAGTATTTAACTTCAGTGTGTAACCCGTTTTACAGTGTTTGTGCTCCGGACATGAATGATACCTAACATCTTTTCTATGCAATTAGAGTTCCAGGTTTGAAAGTGTTGTCAGCAGGCATCCAACGACTGAATTAGTTTCTAGTCTGGTGTGATTGCATGATTTAGTGCAGACAGATTGGGATTAAATTAGATTAGTGTGAAATCGCATACAGCCAGACAGTTTCTTTGTGTTCATGTGTAAGATATTTTTATTTAGAAATGTCTCACACACACACACACACACACACTATAATGGTAACTTATATGTGGTTAATGTAGTTAAATCTCTTTGTAATGCTAATGAATCAGATAATCTAAAACCAGCGGCCAGTAGAAACAACACAAAGCAGCAATCTGTTTTCCTTGTGTCTCCCACTGGAGTCACTGGATCTATAACGCATGTTGTTGGAGAAAACTGTAAACTAGAGAAGCACTTAATCCGACAGCTATTATGAACACACACACACACACACACACTCAGGCAGTTTGTATTTTTCTGGCTTTGGTCTCAGCTGTTCTCACTCAAGCCTAAAGCTACTTACTGCCGTCACTCAGCGTGCCTCTGAACGCTCTATTGTGTGTGTTCGCATAGATCATTTATCATATGTCACTAATGTGATTTCCTTATTGTGTATTGCTGGACTTCTGTGGCAATAGATGCATGTATGTGATGTGTGTGTGTGTGTGTGTGTGGAGAGAGAGAGATGGACACATGGAGTGTGATGAGTTTTAAACTATTGATATTAGATCTGGGTCAGATGAATGATCCCCAGACTGCCTGAGGACTGACTGGCTTCTCATTGTATTCAGACTTTGTTGCTGAAAAATTTCCTTGATTAATATATGATTAATAATCACCTGTCCATTGTCCAGCTCTGAACTCACATCCCGTTCCTCTCCACCCTGACTGGCAGCATGCCAATAAATGTGCTGTAGTATAGATAGATAGATAGATAGATGATCCATCCCTCTATCATCTCTCAAACTTTCCATCCCACCATCCATCCATTCCTCTTTCATCTTTCCATCCATCCATCCTTCCATTCCTCTTTCATCTTTCCATCCATCCATCCTTCCATTCCTTTTTCATCTTTCAATCTATCCATCCATCCATCAATTCCTCTTTCATCTTTCCATCCATCCATCCATCCATCCATTCCTCTTTCATCTTTCCATCCATCCATTCATCCATCCTTCCATTCCTCTTTCATCTTTCCATCCATCCATCCTTCCATTCCTTTTTCATCTTTCAATCCATCCATCCTTCCATTCCTTTCATCTTTCCATCCATCCATCCATTATTCTATCATCTTTCCATCCATCCATCTATCCAACCATCCATCCATTTCTCTATCATTTTTTAATCCTTCCATCCATCCATCCATCCATTTCTCTATCATCCATCCATCCATTCCTTTCATCTTTCAATCTATCCATCCATCCATCCTTCCATTCCTCTTTCATCTATCCATCCATCCATTATTCTATCATCTTTCCATCCATCCATCCATCCATCCATCCATCCATCCATCCATCCATCTATCCAACCAACCATTCAATTCAATTCAATTCAAGTTTATTTGTATAGCGCTTTTCATGATACAAATCGTTGCAAAGCAACTTTACAGCAAATTAAGTTTCTACAATATTTAGTGGTAGCTTATCAGTGGTGACTGTCAGTTAATGTACATATGGCAGAAATGTACGGAAAAATCAATCAAAGACGTAATCAAACAGACGATGAACACTATTAACAGTAGGGCTGAACGATTTTGGGAAATAATCTAATTGCGATTTTTTTTTACCAATATTGCGATTGCGATTTAATATGCAATTATTTTTTAAAGCTCTTTATGTTCTGTATTATTCAACAAAGACAAGCTATAAATCATTGTATAGTATGCCCAACACACTATTAGACAGATTAAACATAAATGTTCTTTTCTGTAGGCCAGGCCTATATGTTACGATGAAATTAGGTGATGCATGAATTGATATGAATGACATTTTTATTTAACAACTACAATCACAGTACATTGACTGATTTGTTGAACTTCCAACCTTGTAAGCATGTAATAATTATGTTTAAATAAGCCTGGTGTAAACATTAATATGAAAGTCAGAAACAAATCACACAAACTAAAGTAGATTGCAGAAATATAAAAACAAATCTGTTGCTTTACCACACTACTTTAGGTAATTCAAAGTCACTGTAATAAACATATGTAAACATGTGGACTGCACTTTTTAAACACTGTCTGTTCACTTTTTACTGTATTAGGGCTGTATGGTACTCTTATTTATATGCTCTTATCATTGGTATCATACTTGGTTAATGGTGTTAGGCCTCCACCATGATGCAGTGAATCAATCAATCAATCAATCAATCAATCAATCAAACAAACTATCTATCTATCTATCTATCTATCTATCTATCTATCTATCCAACCATCCATCCATCCATCCATCCATCCATTATTCTATTATCTTTCCATCCATCCATCTATCCAACCAACCAACCATCCATCCATCCATCCATTTCTCTATCATCCATCCATCCATCCATCCAATTTATACCAAATGGAAAATTGCAGTGCAACAGTACCCAGGCATGATCAACACAGTACAATACAACATAATATAAACATTATAATTTTTTTCATTATTTGGGTTTGTTTAATAAGAGTGACATTTGTCTTAATGATAGCAGATGAGGAGCATTCTGCATAATGCGTGATGACAGCATGGATCACATGTGAATCTCATCTTTATTCCAGTGTTTACAGCAGTCTTACTCTTTTCCCATGACGAATTATTGGACGATATGAGCAGTAGACACAGTAGACAGAGATACTGGCAGGCTAAAGCATTCCCTCTTGAAATGTGCCGATGACGGGACACATCTGACCCGTGGAACATTCCAGCGTCTGATCCTAATCGTCTAATCTCAGGACCTTTGTTTTAGGTTCTGGTGGCTTTATGATGGTTCCTCCTTAATATTTGGCAGCACGTCTAGGGTCTGTTCCCTAAATATTAGCGTGTAAGCCTAGCACCCCCATCCCAACCCCCAAAATTCACACACGCCCTCTGATAGATGGGTATAAATGGGCAGTCTGCTGTCTGTGTGGATCATTTGGTGTTGGACCTTTAGACCTGCATTGCAAAGGAGTTTGTGTTTCTTTTTGTCAAGATTGTTGCTTTTTGAAGGTAAATTTGTCTGATTAACATATGCAGAATGATTACTTCACTTTAGCTTTGTTAAATGCATGTTAACTTACGCATATTGTATTATTTGACAGTTTGTTGTTTGACAGTACAGTACTGTTCAAAAGTTTGTTTTTCTTTTAAAGAAATTAATACTTTTATTCAGTTAGGATACAATGAATTGATCAAAAGTGACAGTAAAGACATTTATGATGTTAAAAAAGAGTTTTATTTCAAATTAGTGCTGTTCTTTTGAACTTTACAGTTTCCACAAAAATATTAAGCAGCATAACTGTTTTCAACCATGATAATAATAATAAATGCTAATGCAAATAAGCATATTAGAATGATTTCTGAAGGATCATGTGATACTGATGACTGGAGTAATGATGCTGAAAATTTAGCTTTGCATCTCCGGAATAAATTACATGTTAAAATATATTAAAATATATTTTATTTTTTTAAAACAGTTATTTTAAATTGTAATAATATCTCCTAATATTACTGTTTTTTTTCTGTATTTTGACCAAATAAATGCAGCCTTGGTGAGCATTAAAACATTTAAAAAATCTTACCAACCCCAAACTTTTGAATGGTGCTATATATACAACCAAAAACCAACTTTTTAAATGACACTGAGCATGTTTTTTTTTTTTTTTAAATGTGACTTTTATACTGCTTTCTGCTACTAAATTTCATTAGCTGTGTTTCATAAGGCAAGCATCTCTATTTCTTCTAACTTCTAACCCATAGCACTAAAACTTACCTTCAAGTAAAACAGGTTTTTGCAAGTAAAAAACACTTTAACAACTGCATAGAAATGCCTTGGCAACCTCCTAGCATTGGGTTTTTCCACTCACATTTTATTTAGAAAAAGTAAAAATCTAGTTTTAAATCACATGCTTTTTCAACAGTGTCTGACTGAACACATCTCTCTCTCTCTCTCTCTCTCTCTCTCTCTCTCTCTCTGTCTGTCTTTTCAGGGCATTCTGTGAGGACTTTCTGAGTGTTTGGCAGCCTCTGCGGGTGTGTTTTATATCAGACAGCTATGAGTGGTAAATACAGTGTGGTGTTACAGGGTCCGGCTCCATGGGGCTTCAGACTGCAGGGGGGGAAAGACTTCAACATGCCTCTCTCCATTTCACGGGTGAGTACAAACACACACTCATTCAAACATGATACACCCCTTCTGACCCCCCGACACCATCTGTACCCTTTAATGATCTCTCGTTCCCCTCTTTATTCTCTTTTTGTCTATTTTTATGTTACTTTTGACCTCGTCATTATGTATAGGGGAGAGCAGGGTAAGCTGTTTTAAAACTGTGCACAGTGTTTATAATGTGATCATATTTTTAGAAAAGGCCCATCATTTGCAGCTGCCTGTGATTGAGAGATACATATGAGAAAAAATATTTTTTGCATGTCAGTAATGTGTCGGAACAAATTATATTTATCCAGGAAAGAATTCTGTAATGCTTAGCAAGGCTGCATTTATTTGATCAAAAATACATAAAAACTGTAATATTGTGAAACAGTATTACAATTTAAAATATTTTATTTAGTTATATGATCCTTCAGAAATAATTATAATATGCTGATTTGCAGCTTAACATTTATTATTATCGTCATACATGTTTTTTTTCAGGATTCTTTGATGAACAGAAAGTTCAAAAGAACAGTATTTATTTGAAATGGAAAACTTTTGTAACATTATAAATGTCTTTACTGTCACTTTTAAATAATTAAATGCATCCTCTCTGAATAAAACTATTAATTTCTTAAAAAAATCTAACTGACCCCAAAATTTTGAACAGTAGTGTATATCTCATACATGTTGGTAAATTGGCGCTGAATAAAACCATTAAAATTATTTGGGTAAAAATTAATGATAAATTATTAAATAATTAAGCATTTATCTCAGAATAATATCAGTAGGTAAAGGGTTTATGATGCTTTGGGGTAATTTATATATATGCCATAAAAACTTACAAATATTAGTATAAAATTGCAATTTAATTGTGCAATTAAAATATTCTCACTTTTAAAAATGTTCTTTACAGGTTTATGCAAAGAAAAGATGCAAACAATGTAATTGTGCATTCTAAAACTTTTTTTTTTTAGCTTTTACTCTGTTCCTGTAGCTCTAATAGAAGAGTATGACACTCGCAAAACCAATGGTTCAATTCCCAGGGAATGCATGAACTAAAAAGCTGTATAGCTTAAATGCAGTGCAAGTCACTTTGAATAAAAGCATCTGCCAAATGCGTAAATGTAATTGTGTTTTCTGTATTCATATATTACAACATACCCCTAATGTGGACCACTTATTTTAAAAAGGCATGTTTCTGTCTATATATTTATAGGCACTTTCTTCTGTCACTTGATAGCAGATATATTTAAGATTCTTAGTTTTACCTCCATCTCATTTCCTCTTGACTACAGGACAAACTTACAGCTTACCCTGCTCCCCCCTGAATATTTATCTCATTTATTCATCTGTTAAATGATCTATGTAACCTTTCCTTTCCACCTGTTGATACTTTTTATTTCCTAATGAGTCTTCCACCCTCTCTCTATCTACAGTATCTCTCTCATGCACACACACACACACACACACACACACACACACACACACACACTCGCTCAGATGCACGTATGTCACACAGCCGTTTGGGCTGCCAATGTATGACAGCTATTCCCACAATGCCATCTGGCAGAGGAGTGATGTAAATGACCTTCTGATTGATTTTCCTTGCCTCGCTCTCTTTCTTTCCCTCCCCCTCTCCAGACTCTTCCCTCTTTTCTTCTGTCCTCCCCTCTCCCTCTCGGTATTTGTCATTATTTATTTTTTTAATTGTGCTGTTGTGTTTTACAAGCTATTTTTACAGGGTTATTTTAATTTATTTTATTATTTTATTTTATTTTCAAATAAAATGAATAAATTTAAACAAAATCAAATATTTTAATTTTATTAATATTTTTATTTCATTATTTTATTTAGTTTTAAAACAATTATTTAAAAATAATAAAAGTATTAAAATAAAATAAAAATTAAAAAATAAATAAAAATAGTTCATGTATTTATTTATTTCTCTCTTTAATATCATTCATTTGGATCTTATTTGGTCTCATTGGATCTCATAGTGTTACAAGCTCGTAAGTCACTTTAGCAATGTGATGTGCATTCAAGTATAAAAATATATGCATTGGACAATTTCGTATTAATTTTTTTTAATCAGACAGTTATTCTTCACATTAGAGTTTGTGATGTTGTGGCTCTTCTGGCTGCTGGTAGGTCTGGTTCGTGGCTTAGAACGCTTTGTATGGGAAGCCAGTGAAAATATTTTATCAATAGAGTGAGAGCTCTCTCGGATCCCACTACAGACGTTACTCACACTCCATAAAAGATGTTATTTCAACTTCAGATCCTCAGTAAAATCTGGGAGCGCAGCCGTCAGCTGGACATATCATAAATCTGTGATTTACAGTCCTCTCGTCTCTCCTCAGTATTGTTGGGAAGTAAGTATTCTGCATCTGTCAGTATTGAGACAGTAGCTCAGCTGTTTACAAAATAATATAGTCTTTCCAGTGTTTCTAGCAACATTTTTCCAACAATTAGTGTAAGTACACTATTAAAAAGTCTGCAAAAAATAGGAGGCAGTGAACTGTGTTTGAATATAAAGGAATTTTCTGTATTGATTTTTCACATTTGCTTTACCCAGAAAATTACTAGTACCTTTTCTCAGACAGCATTCAGAATTTTGATTAATTTTACCATATTTCAGTAAACAGGTTAAAAAAATTGATTCATTTGGATCGCTACTTTGATGCAGTAACCCATTAAGATCGTCATTGTATTTGTGCCAGATAAATACTGCTCTCATGTGTAATTCAGACTAAATTTCATTGTAGCGCGATTAAAAATATATTTCCTCCATAAATTGATTGGATTAATCCTGAGTAAGGAATAATGCATAGGTTCATTATTAAAATTAATCTCATTATTAAAATTAATCTTAAGGGGTGATACTGGAGATATGTAACTAGCACAGCTCTAAAATTATACAGTTTAGCAGTAATTATGCAAAAAAAATAAAAATAAAATTGACAGCAGTCTGCAGAGAGTGACCAGTCAGAATCAAGTATTCTACACTCTTAAAAACAATGGTTCTTTTTTTTGGCATCAGTGATTTCATAAAAAATTTACAGTGGTGGACGAAGTACACAAATCAAGTACTTGAGTAAAAGTACAGATCCTAACAGCATCAGACGCGTGCGCGCTCTCTCACAAGATCTCCCGGTTCTTACTTGTGAATTCAGTTCACTGGAGACTCGCACCAAAGGGTTCATTTGAACCAGTGAGTTGTCGACTCGAGAACAGCTGCAATCGGATCATTCCAATTCGTGAATTAATCGTTTGGTGCGATTTGCGAACCGATTTAACGGGTTCATTGAAAAGAATCAGTTCGTTCATGATGAATCAGACACCGCTTCTGCGTCTCGGAGCACGTGATATAAGGAGTAACGATAATTTTTATGAAATGTAGTGAAGTAAAAAGTACGATCTTATGCTTTGGAATGTAGTGAAGTAAAAGTAAAAGTTACTCAAAATAAAACTACTCCACTAAAGTACAGATACTTGAAAAATGTACTTAAGTACAGTAACGAAGTAAAACTACTTCATTATTGTCCACCACTGAGAATTAAGATTTAACATCCATGGAACCTTTAAAGTTCCATGGATGTTAAAAAAGGTTCTTTAAAGTGGAAAAGATTCTTCAGATTTTTAAAATGTCCTTCAACAAAGAAATAAAAGGCTCTTTTTAAGAACTGTTCGCTGAAAAGTTCTTTTGGGGACCCAAAAATGGTTCTTCTATGGCATCAGTGCGAAAACCCCCATCACAAACTTTATTTTTAAGAGTGTAGAGGGCCATGTAATCATTTCTGTTAGCAAAGCAACTGTAGTTTAACTACTTAAAACAGACCTGCTGCTTCAAGATTGGTCTTGCATCTCTCATGACATCATCTCCAGAGGAGTGCGCATATGTGGGTGACAAACTTTTCATCGATGATAAGATAAAATGAGAATGTTCCAGTTCATGCCATGGTAAAATTAGCTGCTTTCTCCGAGGTCCTCTGCAGGCCGTCAAGCGTTTAAGCCGTGAGGATGAAGCTGCAGCTTTTTTGGCAGGAACTTGTAGGTTGCAGATGCAGTATTTCTTCGAGTGTTTGTGCTGATTTCAGACAGGACGGGGCGCTGGGACAGGTTTAGACTGTAAATAAACGTTTGGGGGGAGTGTGTTGGGTTTGGACGCGGACAGGTCTGAGGTTGTGGGAGTGTGACTGATTTTTTTTGTTTTGTGTGAAAAGCGGTGGGAAATTTAGCAGTGAGATTGGGTTGGTTTGGACCTCGCTGTACCTCAGCCAGCTTTTCAGAGATTTAATATTCTAAGTTCTGGTTTATGGTGGGATTTAATACAAGGATCTGGTCTAAACTAGGCTTTATAAGACTGTGGTTTGGAGCTGCTGCTATGTTCTGGTTAGTGTCAGTACACAGGATCACAGCTGGGTGTGTGTTCTGTTTCAGTGTCTGTTTCTTTCTTTCTGTACTTCTACCATCTGATACCATCATGGAGATTTTTTTTCTCTCTGTCTGTCTTTCTCTCTCTAGGATTGAAGGAAATGTGACTGGTGTTTGCCTGTGTAAAACCTGCCACAATGAAGCTAGGAGGATGGCGTGGGTGGTTGCTAGGATGATACTAAGTGGTTGCTAGGTGTTCAGAATGTTTTTTTTAACAGTGTATAGTTTCTAGATTGTTCTCTGTGGTTGCCAGCAAAATTTGCCTGTGTAGTTGCTAAGGTGTTCCGAATGTTGTTTAACAGTATACGGTTTCTATAATGTTGTCAGTGGTTGCTGCTAGGGCATTTGTGCATGGTTGCTAAGGAGTTTAGAATGTTTTTGGCACTATACTGTTGCTAGGAAGTTTTGGGTGGTTGCTAAGGCCTTACTGAGGGGTTGCTAAGGTGTTCAGAATGTTGTTTAAGAGTATACGGTTTCTATAATGTTGTCAGTGGTTGCTAGGGCATTTGTGCATGGTTGCTAAGGAGTTTAGAATGTTTTTAGCAGTATACAGTTGCTAGGAAGTT